GGGGACTCAGGGCGGCTCACAACTCGAACCGGGGAGGGGAATACAGACAAAAGATTTAAAAACAACAACATAACAATATATAATTTAAAATTTATGAAGCACATAAGGCTTTAAAAACTTACCTTTGATAAGTTTACTGCAGCACCAGGACTCAGTAGCTGCCCTTGGTCCGCAATGAGGTAAGCAAGGTGCTTGCAACGCTGAGTTTCTACTACTATATCTGTCAGTGAGCCAGACACACGTACGGCTTCCTGTAGGAGCACATCAGGATCTTCAATCTGAGATGGGATATCCGAGAGGGTGTTGAAGATAGATGCAGAGTTCTCAGACTGGGTGAGTTCATCTTCCTGTGTTAATATGGACAAGTTATTTTGCATGATACAGGTGAATCATCCTGCAGAATAGTTTTGCTCCCATTTGTTGTACTTAATCCTAATCTAGTGGGGAACGGTTAAGCAGTTCAAAGCAAGATAAAATCAGTCATGGCTTTCCTTGTTCATTCCACATTGGCTAGTCAATGATGTCTAGAGCACATATTGATAAAGATATATTAGTCTGGGTGGCAAACATTAAAACCTTGGAAGTAGTAATATTGCCTTATTAATGCTATTACTCTCCAGAATTTGGGAATGACTTCTAGTAAAATCTGGCTTAGCTTATCTTCATGAACAAATAAACTATTGTTTTAAGTAGATTTTAAGAGCTTGTATTTCCAGGCAACTGATTTTAGATGAAAGTTTATGGAAAATAACTTCTCACTAATAACCAGATTTTCAGCCACTTCTGTACAAGTGATATACAACAGCCACGCCGAACAAGTTACAGGTAGTCCTTCATTTATTATCACAATTAAGCCCAAAATTCCCATTACTAAGCAAGGCAGTTGTTAAGTGACCTTTGCCCCATTTTGCCAGAGTTAAGTAAATCACATGGTCATTAAGTGAATCCAGCTTTCCTAATTGACTTGGCTTGTTGGAAGCCAGTCGGGAAGGTTACAAATGATGATCACATGACCCCAAGACAGTGAAACTGTCATAAATACATGCCAGTTGCCAAGCACCTCAATTTTAACCACATGGCCATGGAAATGGCTGCAACGGTCCTAAGCGTTAAAACTAGTTGCAAGTCACTTTTTCATTGCTAATGTAACTTTGAATGGCCACTAAACAAATGGTTGTAATTCAAGGACTACCTCAAAAATGAATAGTTTATACAAAACAAAATACAGGCTCTTTCTGTCTGAAGTCTGCCTGCACCTAAATTGAAATAAGCCGTGTTGCAGTCAACAGATTTTCATGAATGCACAAAAAAGCAAAAGTAGTTGTGTTGATCAAGGGAAGAAAAATACAAAACCTCATTTGGATAATATCTTTATCAGAATAACTCAAGGTTACAGAATAACATAAAAATAATGGGTTTCACTAATTCATTAATGTTGAACAGGCATGTATCTACCTGTCTGCATTGTCAATGCATTCAAGATAAATAAACCAAGACACATCTGTAATTCTGGTGTTAGAAATGTGCATTTACTGGTTTTTCTAGCTCTATCCAAAATACATATTTTTAAAATATAAATAAGGTAGTATTTAATATCTTATTAATAAACTAGGCTAGTAGCATTATTACAGAAGGCTGAAAAGAGAAATTAAGGCCATGGAGATGTTGAGAATACAAAAATTACCTAAGTTTTAAGTGAGCAAAATATGATTCTTTTTATTCTTTCCTGAAACTTTTCCCCAAGATCCTCAGTGTGCTAAGAAGTCTTGAATTCTAGCCACCCCACATAGTATGCCCATTCCATCCCTGAGAGAAAAAGAAAAAGCGGAAGTTAAGAAATTTTACAAAACATTAGTTACCTTCAAACTGAGCATACCCAGTGTAACCTGAAAGAGAACAATGGAGCCTTGGTAGAAGAAATAGTCCCAGATACGCAACAACAGCTTGATATGCACCACACTAGCAAATGATGTAAGAAACCAATGTAGGGTAATGAGGGAGAGCTCTGTGGATAGAAATAAACATACATCAGTTTATCTGTCAACTGCATGCTTGTTCTCTTCATTTCCAACATAAAAAGGAGCATTAACATTATTTCTTTAAGCAATGTAGAAGAAAATACACTGTTCTTAATTCATTTTGTATCATTGGCAGCAACTAAACACATAGTTTTTTCCATAGATGAATGTTTAAAATCATAAATGTTCTTGAATTCACAGATGCAGCAATGCAGAGATTCACAGTTGTACGGAAATAATTTCTGGCCTATATTATTAGCACTATCAATGTTCAGTATGCTGTTATTCACAGAAGTGAACATTAAAGTCTTAAATTGAACTAAAGGCTTCTTTAAAAACTAAATTACCTGCTTATAGGAAGAATTAAAATAACAAACGAACTCTATATAAATGAAATACAGTATATAGGAATTGGTTTTAAAAAAAATCAGGTATTTGTGCTTTGACTGATAATGGGTCTCCAAGATCTTGGGCAGAATCTTTCCAGATACGTTTTTAAAAACTGATAATGTGCCATGCTAAAGGTTGAATTTGGATGCGCTCCCATTAACAAGTGATTATTCCACCATTAAACTGCCACTGAGTTTATTACAACTGCCCAGGGGTGGGTTTCAACCGGTTCGCGGCGGTCCCTGCGAACTGGTTGGTCACCGAACCCGGAAATAAGTAACTTCCAGGAACGGCGAAGGGCACGCCCACCCGCCTGCGGTCCTTACCCGGTTTTGACGAGTTCTGCGCTTCCACGCATGCACAGGACGCATACAGCGCCTGCGTGATCGTCCAGGAGCAGCTGGAGCATCNGCTTAGAAAGTTAACAACCGGTTCTCCCGAATAGGTGCGAACTGGCTGAATCCCACCACTGCTTGTTCACCTTTTCATTGCTGCTCTGGAATACAACACCTCATGGATCCATGCTTTTTGTCTATCTATCACATAGGCCAGCACAAAGGACATTGAATCCCTCTATGCAGCTATCCATCACCGTCTTGTTGCTCAGAGAAACTTTACAAAGCAGGAATGTGGTGTAAATCAAGTGGAATACAAGCTAGATGTTCAGCCAATATCTTGTGACAGCGATGATGAAGAGAATGAAAAAAAAATCTCCAGGGAGCAACAATAGATCAGGTAAAAAAAAAAAAGCTTTCATGACGTTGACATAAACTCTGGTTCATGCAAATTATAATTCAATATTTACTTTCCCATAATAGAACGGGCCAAGTTCAATGCAGGAAGAATTGGGGAAAATATTTCTGCTGCTGCAAAGTTTGCAAATCTGGTTGGATAATATAACGTTTAAGGAGGAGAAAGTGCATGTTTCAAAGGTTAAAAACTCACACATCTAAAACATGAGGCAGAGTAAAATTGGAAAGGGGATTGTTTTGTGATTGTCTGCATATATACATACCTATAGAGAGACAGATAAACATACACACACATACATACAGGTTTACCACAAGAAAAAGACAGGTGGGAAGGGAATTAATGTTCCAGATTTAGTAACTGGACAGAATAGGAACTTCTTAACATTGAGCAAACCAGTTGGACAGGTTTGCTCTGGTATCTCCAAGCTGATAGGCAAACACTTGTGTTATTTTGATATGAACATTCAGCACGGTAATTTGCAAATAATCTCACTATAGTTTTGAGAGAGGTTCCTCTGACTCTTTCTCTACCTCCAGAAACAGTTAAGGGTTTACCCTTCCAAACTCCAGGGTTTTCCACAGGGGTCAGCACTTCATCTCTCGTACCTTCTGCAGCACTTGTCCACAACTATATGAGCATTCTCGCTGCTCCCCCACTACCCTGTAATCTGTTCCCTCCAGCTAGATCATAGGGAATGTAAGGGAGCAAAGCAATAGTAGCTAGCTAGGTCGTTGCAACCATTTTGGAGTCTTATGCATAAGAAGAAAAACGGGAAAGTACTCTTCCTCCAACCAGTTGCTGAGCAAGGCAAGGGGATGGCAACCACGTTGTGTAAGAAAGGAGTGGGTAACTAGGGCAACTTTACGACCTATAGACTCCCAACTCCCAGAATTCTTGAGTCAGCTATGCTAGGACAGTTAGGAACATAGTGGGAACATACCAACATAAAGGGATGTGGTGGCTCAGTGACTAAGACTCTGAGCTTGTCGATCAGAAAGGTCGGCAATTCGGCGGTTCGAATCCCTAGTGCCGTGTAACGGAGTGAGCTCCCATTTCTTGTCCCAGCTTCTGCCACCTAGCAGTTTGAAAGCACGTAAAAAATGCAAGTACAAAAATAGGGACCACCTTTGGTGGGAAGGTAACAGCGTTCTGTGCACCCTCGGTGTTTAGTCATGCCAGCCACATGACCACGGAGACATCTTTGGATAGTGCTGGCTCTTCAGCTTTGAAACAGAGATGAACACTGCCCCCTACAGTTGGGAACAACTTACCAACATAGAACATTGTGTAATAGGGCTAGAAGAGACCTTAGGAGTTTCTTAGGAGGAACTCTAAAGAAACAGAAGATAAGATGAAGGGGAAGTTTCCTTTCAGAGAAAAGAACTTTTCACAATATTTTTCTGGAGCCATAGCTCACACAAGAATTCCACTTTTGAAAACCTAGGCTAGCCCCTCAGTATTGCTTAGACATGAGCATGTACCCATGCAAATGAAGAAGTCCCATTAAGCCTTAAAGTATCTGTTGGTGTTCTCCTATCTCTAGAAATTGGATTCATGAGCACCTATCATAGTCACTTGCTTTAACACCTGGATTTTGGCCCCCACTATGCACAGCTGCTGTACCTGTAAACAGATATAAATATTACAAAATGGCATAGCATCTCCAAGGATCCCTTTGTAAAAGAAACCTGACTTGGATATGTGCTAAATCCTGGAATTTCTTGTCATTCAATAATTAAGTTGTGTATAACAACATTACTTTAAATTTTTTAAATGCTTTTGGCAAAATAATTTAGATTACATTACCAGTAATATTTAGATTATTAATCCCTGTTAAATCAGGACTTTTATAAGAGATTCCATAACTTCAGTATCTGCTTTTTGCTTTCATGCACCATACTCCAAAATTGGCTTTTTTAAAAATCTGGTTAATAACTTTTTAATTATCCTGAATTAAAGGTCATTTCTATTAGAATCCATTATGCACTTGTGGTTATATCGATCTGTTTTAGGCATTGAGTATTGCCTGCTATAAATAGTTTCTTATGGATAGCAAAATTGCCGAGATATAAACAATTGACCTCTCACTGGATACTATGTAACAAAAATGGAGGAGAAAAGATTATGATAGGAAATTGCATGGCTGCAAAGGACAGAGGGAAGCCCAGACTATTGTACCAAGTCATCCATCATGTAGACAGAAATGAAAACAAAACATAAGAAGGGTGAATATTATTTTATTTTTATTATTTTATTATGTAAGCTGCTGGGGGTTTGCACAGGTTCGGGCGATCTCTAGCTAGGATTCCGCCCAGTTTCGCGAACCCCCTAATGCCACCCCTGGTTGGCCCCTCCCACCCCACCATGCCCTTTCCACCCCACCACGCCCCTCCCAGGAGTCTCCACGTGGCCTGTTTATCATGCCAGATAAGCGCATGGCCTGCGCGGAGGCTCAGGGTGGGAGAAAAACAGGCCTACTGGAAGTCCCGAAATGGGCCTGTTTCCAGCCTCCAGAAGGCCTCCAGAGCCCGGGGAAGCAGTTTTCACCCTCCTGGAGACTTGAGGGAAGCCTCCTGAGCCTGGGGAGGGCAAAAAATGGGCCTACCGGAAGTTCCCAAAGTCCAGAAACGGACCTGTTTCCGGCCTCCAGAGGGCCACTCCGAGCCCAGGGGAAGCAATTTTCTCCCTCCCAGAGGCTCAAAGAAAGCCTCCAGAGCCTGGGGAGGGTGAAAAACATTTTTCCCCCCCCGCCATGGTGCAGGAGGCTGGGTAGGCCACACCCACCATGGCCACACCTACCCAGCAACAGGGCAATGAACCCATTGCTGCAATTTTTGAAGCCCAGCCCTGGATATATTATTGAATCATTGTAGTTGGTGGAATTGGGCTGTGGCTTCCTGTTATCGTCACTAAATCCTTTCTAGCTATAGTTCCTTAACTTCCTATGAACCTTCCCAAATGGGGTGAAGCCTAACATTCAGAACACGTATAAGGGGAATTTATACTGTGGTTTCAATTAAACTTTGCTCCAAAATCCAGCCCTCTGCGGTATAATACCTTGTTACAAGTGCTTACAGTGAAGGTGTCGTATAGACAATGTGACCATCAATCAACCTGCCACACTAAATCCATTGTGCAATTTCATGGCTTAAATCATGATTGTGCAATGTCTTTTATAAGTGTATAAAGAATAGGGAAACTGAGGAAATAACTTAGGTTGTGGTGCTTGAAGGAAATACTTGAAAAAAAACCTCATATGTTAAAATATTTCCCTGTAATATTGATCCCAGTTTTTCTAGCAGATTGAGCAATTCCAGAGAGTAATGCAATTAAACCTCCTCCTTCCTTGCCACAAGATATATTAGTACTGTGTCTTCCCTGATCTGATACTCTGGATTTAGTGGACCCAAACAGAAAGCTTAAACAATTAGAAGAGCATCAAAAGAGCAGTGTTGAAGAACACTGCAAAAGGATATGCATAGAATAATAGTATTATTAATAGCATTAATTAATAATAACAATTACATGAGCTGCAGTGGCGCAGTGGTTAGAGTACCGTACTGCTGGCTATTTCAGCTGCCTGCTGGCTGCCTGCAATTTGGCAGTTCAAATCTCATCAGGCTCAAGGTTATCTCAGCCTTCCATCCTTCCAAGGTGAATAAAATGAAGACCCAGATTTTGGGGGCAATAGGCTGACTCTGTAAACCACTTAGAGAGGACTGTAAAGCACTGTAAAGCGGTATATAAGTCTAAGTGCTATTGGTATTGGCATTGATGAAATCACCAGCAGTCAATTGAAAATGGTAGCTTTACTTGGAAAGAGCTGACATCCTCTAACAATATGTTTAATGCCATTAAACAACAGCCTATCCCAAGTCCTTGGAAAGAACTTGATAAGTGTTTAAGAAACCCAAATCCCATCTAAACACCTGGCTGACTATGTGACTAATAACCACAACAAGAGTAAAATCAATATAACTATGATCCAGATGGGAAGATGATGATGATCTATCATTTCCTAATTCTCTGACTCTCAAGTGGACATGTAGAACGATGTCATTTGATTGTCACTCTCCCTTCAGTTTCCTCAAATTTCCTGCCCTCTCTGTGTCCTTCTCTGAAACTGTTCCAGACGTTTGAATCTTTAAGGTATGTTGCAGTGGTGAAATTTAATTTTTTTACTACCGGTTCTATGGGTGTGGCTTGGTGGGCATGGCAGGGGAAGGATACTGCAAAATCTCTATTCCCACCCCACTCTGGGGCCAGCCAGAGGTGGCATTTGCCGGTTTTCTGAACTACTCAAAATTTCCACTACTAGTTCTTCAGAACCTGTCAGAACCTGCTGGATTTCACCCCTGGTATGTTGGCACCCAGAACTTGAGGTAGGATTTGACCAAAGCAGAATAAAATGTATCAAGTAGTGCATTATGGTGATATAATCTAACTACATTTGCCTTGTTTGCAGATACAATGCTGCTGACAAAATTCACCTTATAATCAACTACAATTCCAGGATTTTTTTTTAACAAGTGCTGTTGCCAATCCACATACCCCTCCTTCTACATGTGCATTTGATTTCTGTCTGTCAAATTTCTTTCTATTGTTCACGACCCATTTTGCAAACCTACCACAAATTTTGAATTTCATTTGTCTTCTGGAGTATTAGCTATCCCACCAATTTTATGACATCTGCACGTTTGATATCCATTCTCATCCTCATCCAAATAATGACTACAAATCTTACCTCATTTGTATTTAATTTGCACCTTCGTTTTACAACTGTTATAAAAGCTGAAGTCACTGCAAATGTCCTCCCATATAAGTGTGCATTGTGTTACAACCTTCATTATCTTGGCATGTTGTAATTTTTTCCTCCCTTTGTGCCGAGTGTAATGCAACTGAACTTTGTGTCCGTTTGTTTTAGTTTGTGAAATGCTGCACAAATGAGATAAAAGGAATTGTGTTCCAATGCTAAAGTTTAACTTCCTTTTCATTCTCTGTGCATGCACTTCTGATTCATTTGGGCCTGATCGGGTTGGAGACAATCTTCTAGAATGTTCTTTGGCATCAGTCTCATTGAAAGATCTGGGAGCTGCTCAAGAACAGGAATTAAAAAGCTTTCATTTAATAAAGACCTTTGTCCTCTCTTTTTGAATTTTCTAACAGCATTCTAGAAATATATATAGATGTATGTATGTATGTATGTATGTATGTATGTATGTATGTATGTATGTATGTATGTATGTATGTATTTAAAGTCACAAC